GATCAAGCAAGAGGATTTTCGTGTCGTTGTCATTTTTATCTGCAAGCCGCCCACCTGCATGCTTCAAAGAGACAGGAAGACGAGGTGCGGGCAGAGGTGCGCTTGTGAAACAAACTTATCTGACAGTTTCTGTGAGTGAGTGAGTGAGTGAGAGAGATAAGAACCTGCAAACGCTGACCTTTGACCTATGAACCACATGGCCTGATTGGCTGATGATGATTTTTCTTCTACAGTATCTTAATTTAATTAAAACTGTTTCCGTTGCAGTGAAACACGTTCATGCATTAACAACAGTTTTGTCCACATTTTCTCTCCTGTAACTCCCCCTGTTGAATTAAACTGTGTTTGAATCCCTCCGAGGGAAGCTGTTGGAGTTGGATTAGCCCTCTACACCTCTTGAGGACTGAGGTGACTCAGAGTTCAGTTTGATAAGCTCTCGTCCCGTGAGCGACCTCCGCCCCTCTTTCTGGAATTACTGGGACTCTTGAGGTCTGAATCTGGAGCGGGACTTACAGCCGAATGACCAGGCACATGCTGACAGACATCTTATCACTCATTGCTCTGTAATACTTGATTCTGATTGATCAGTTATGCTGTCAAATGCTTTTTAAAACAACGTTAATCTGTCTAACTGACTGATTTTTGACATAGACGTGCTAGTTTCATGCCTCTCGTATCACTCTGCGGTCTCTTTCTTCTTGCATAATGGAATAGTTTCAGCTCAAATCAATATTTCACGTCCATTTATTTATTTATTTGGTGAGAAGAAGTATAATAAGCAGGGTATTGTACAGTCAGATGGATATTCTGGCAAAATAAAGCCCTTTAGGGTGACCTGAGATTGATCCGGATCCCCCGTGGGAGTTAGTTTGTGATAATGACCTGCTGATCTCTCACATCTGCTCATCTCTTACTGATTTACTCGTGAATCTGTCTCATCTAGAGTGCGTCAGACCCACCGTCTCCTCTGGAAGGACAATAAGCCTCGCTTCGGCCTGCTGTTTGTGCGCAGTGAAAATTAAAGGTGAGGTACTATAGGGGGGGTTTGTGTGCGCTTCAGATTTGAATTGACAATGCATTTTAAATTTCATCCAAGTCTATTGAAGTTACCATTCATTTTCAGATCAGTGTGCATTGGATTTTACTTCTGGTTCTAAACAGGATGTAGAATTGGAATGCTATAAAATACTTATAGTACTGTGACTTTTATAACATACTTCGTTTTCAGTGTGAATTGCCCATAAACATGTTGTGATCATAATTTCAGTAGATGATACTGATAATCAATATTTGAAATGTCACCTATAGAAATGAGTGTTTATGTATATTTTATCATATTTAATAAATACATTTTATATTAACTTAACTTATATTAAGTTTATTTACCATGATGGAAATGGTAATTATTATTCAATCATGACAACTCTCGGAAGATTTAACATGGTGTTGGATATGACAATGTTAATGTATTTGGTCTTGGTGGAATAGATCTGCTACGCTGCGCCTGCGCCATCTAGAGTTTCATGACTGAACTATATATTTACACCTGTTTATGGTTTAAAATATATTATATTATATTATATTATATTATATTATATTATATTATAAAATTATATTTAATTTACAATCACAATAATTTAATTTTGATGTTGTTTTTTATTATAATTATATAATGGCTATTAACTTAATTTTGTGTACTAAATAATGTGTACATTATATTAATGTAACTTTTATGCACAATGGTGGAACTGTTACTTATTATTACATCTGTGTATTTAAAAATATATTATATTATATTATTATTAAATTGTTTAATTTACAATCACAGTATTCAAATTTTGATATCAATATTTATTTTATAAAGTGACGAAAATAATGTGTATTTTGATAAAATACATGTTAAATTTTGACATGATCGAATTTAGTTAAGTAACACTTTTAACCAGAAAATGTTTTGAAATTTGCGTTTTGTCTTGTGCATGACTAATGAAATTCCATTGAATTGCAATTCAGTAAATTCCTCTTCCTTTTCATGAATTGAAAAGAAGCCACTATTGGCTTACTTTAGTTCATCCCTGCTGGTGCAGAGGAGCAGATTGGCCTGTACTGGTCATGTGAAGGTTTGGGGCGAGCATGGACATGTTGAGGAATGACTCTATACTGCTGGTTTGCCTGTCTGTTAGGGGTTGTTAACTAAATGAAGTAAATTCGGTTGTGGATTGATCTGCTGTATGATGCTTTGATTCAAAGGCCTGCTGCTGTTTACAGAAGTAAGAAGCATTATAGTGTTTGACGTTCATGCTGGTAGGTCACTCTTCAGTATGGCTGTGTTTGTGCTGTGGTATTTCTGTTGAATCATAGCCTACATATTGCTCAGTGGAAAGTGTGTTCCAGCTGTGTTTCTCTGTTGAGATTTTATTGAGCTGTAGATTTAGATAATCTTCTATTAAGTAAAAGCAAGTCAATATTCAAGAGAAGTTGTGTATCCTCACATGATCCCATTGAAAAAAAAGGAAAATAATGTCAGAATGCAAAATAATTTTCATTTTCATTATGCAAAATATGCAGTTCTCTTTTTTTAGAGCACTGTTGATGTAAGTAAACATTAGTCTAGACAGCATTAGCCTGCATGAGACTGTTTGAGAGCTCGTGACTGTTTCTGTCCATGTGTCATGTTCAGTGGGAATTACATCAGATTATTAGAGGAAGTTCAGTCTTAGTCACTCATATTCACTTCGGGATGTTTTGCTAGTAAACAGATGTGCCGACAGCATCTGACGGATACTTTATCAGTGTAGTATGACCTGTGTTTCGCTCTCATGACTCTGTGTGTGTGTTTTAGAAGTTGCTTTGGTTTAAAGGTTGTTTACAATAATAGAAAAAAGCACTCAGGCAGGTCTGAAATCGACCAGATTAATCTTAAACAAACATGCCTGAGATATTGAAATTCTAGCCTTGTGTGACCTCTAGCTCTCTGATATCTGTATTCATAGTCTCAGAGGTCGGCGCTGTTGAAGCGACTGTCGAGAGCAGGGAAATTTAGTGATGGAAAGAAGTTATTATTTAATAATGTGATATAAATTTGTCATCATTCAGTTCCAGTGGTGTAATGTGTATGTAACACTCTTACGTAGCCAGACTTTTGATCATCAGACTGAATAAGCAGCTTATTCTGGTTAAGACCCGCCCACTTAGAATGGAGGACACCGTTTGATTGACATATGAAGTGGCCAATCACTGTATGTTTTGCTTTTACATGCAGTTTTGTCTTTTTTTGGTCTTACAGTTCAGTTGAGATTCTTTGATTTCCTCAAAGATGACCAATCAATCAGCAAAATCATTTTGCAAATGCTTAAAAAAATAAAATATTTTTTTTATAGTTACAGTTAACTATATTTTTTAAAATAAAAATACATTTTCTTAATTCTTATTCATCCATTATTCATTCATCCATTTCTTTTTTTGAATTAAGTTGATTCATTTTTGGTTTGTGATTGTGTGTTTGTTGACTATGCATCATTGCAACAAGGTTTATGTACAGTAAATCAAGCAAATGTTGGCGTGAAACCTCAATGTGAAGGTGTAGGCTAAAAAGAAGCATGTGTGTGGTATTTTTGTGACCGACAACATGTGAAGACCTTATCAGTCACATCTATTTTGTTTTAAACCGTTTTTATGTTGCGTCAAAGTGAACTTCAGTAATGCAGTTTTGAGTAGTTTTTATTAGTTACTGCAGACTGTTGTTCAATTTTTAATATTCACCTTATTTTCAGACCCATTTGTTCTCAAATTATCTGTAAACACTGCAGCTGTCATAAAACAGAGGAGCAGTTTAATTTAACACAGCTGAAAAACCAGCTCACTCACAGATCTTCATTTCAAGGTCATCATGATTCAAGCAAAAAGCGGTGATGTGTGAGTGGTTAAGTTGTTTACTCTGTAATTAATCCATTTTCAGTAGTTTGACACTCTTAGACTATTGACAGGGTAATTATTTGTTTTATAATACCTATATGTGACCCTGGACAGCAAAACCAGTCATAAGGGTCAATTTTTTTAAATTGAGATTTATACATCATCAGAAAGCTGAATAAATAAGGTTTCCATTTATGTATGGTTTGTTAGGACAATATTTGGCCAAGATACACCTATTTGAAAATCTGGAATCTGAGGGTGCAAAAAAAAATCCAAATATTGAAAAAATCACCTTTAAAGTTGTCTAAATGAAGTTCTTAGCAATGCATATTGCTAATGATAATACATTTTTGATAGATTCACGGTAGGAAATTTACAAAATATCTTCGTGGAACATGATCTTTACTTAATATCCTAATGATTTGATATGGGTTAAAATAATAATTTTGACCCATACAATGAATTGTTGACTTTTGCTACAAATATACCTGTGTTACTTATGACTGGTTTTGTGGTGCAGGGTTGCATATGTACTTCTCATTATGCTTTATTACCTTTTATTAAATTACAGAAAAATAGTTAATGCTGCTGTGTGAGTGTTTCTAATACAACGGCTGAGGGAGTGACAGCAAACCATCATAATCCATCATAATCAATCTCCATTTAACCTAATGTTTCATAATGTTTCTTTTGCTTTAATTCCATAATATCAATTATGTTATCATACTATATAGATTTTTGATGAGCCACGGCCTCCTTTTTCTCAGAAAACGTGGCTCTGAAGCGTGTTTGTGGATTAGCTGTAAGCCTGTAAAACTGTAATTCCTCCGACTGCAGAGCGAAAACATGCAAATATCAGACTATAAGGACCGTACACACACACACACACACACACACACAAAATCAGCGTGTGTCTGGGTGTGTTAATTCAAGTAGCTGTTGAGTCACTGACCCCCGTCACTGTTGAACCCATGTGAGGTGTGTCTGTTTCTCTTTTCTGACTCACCTACTTTTGTTGTCGCTCTCTCTCTCTCTCTTTTTTTCTGTTCTTTCCTTAATCTCTGAGTATTACACGCCTCCCCAGTCTTACTCCCTCCCCCTTTCCCTCTCTCTCTCTCTCTCTCTGTGTCTCTGGCGTGTGCTCAGATCTGCAGTGGTTTATTCAGTCGTTCAGTCGGGTCGTGTTGCTGCTCTGCATGCTTGCTGCATGCACGTGTGTTTGCTCGCCCCGGCTGGTATGCATAGACTGGAAGGAGGCTGCAAATGTGTCCTTAGGAGGAGATGCGGTCTCGTGCAGCAACCCTGTGAGGCGGTTCTGCCCCGCGACGGCTCTGCTAGGACACTTCCTCTGTGGACCTCCGAGTGCGAGCGCTACTCTTAACAAGTGAGTCTGCTTTCAGGATGGCATCATGCAGCGTTTGAGTGCGTTTGTGCTGGTGCGGATCATCTTAAGGGTTCTGCGCTTTGTCACCCAAAGCCAAATGACCCGAACGCACAGGTGGGATGGATTGGCTGGTGCTGGACTGACATTGGTGTGATCCGTGTGGGAATTAGTTGTGTGGGGAATAAGTGCATTTGGGGATTTGGAGTGTGAGATGTGTTGTCTTTGAAGAGCCAGATGTGTGTTTGTTGTAATTTGGGGGGGAAATGGTACCCAGACGTGAGCTAAATGTGGCAAACTCTCCCTTTGGGGAGGTTATTGAATGATTTATGAATAAATTGCATGATATTTTTTGAGTCCTAGCATGCAGAAAGTTTCTTTGAGGTAGTCTGGAGTCAGAATTAGGTTTATATAAACAGCAGATGTGTGCGGTATGTCTTCTTTTAGGTAGCAAGGTAAGTGTGTGTATGTGTTTGTGTTGGTGTCATGTTTTGAGCATGCACGCTTCCTCCGGTGACGAGGGGAGGGCATGATCAGAAGTTTGTGTTTAGCCTCCGACACACACACACACACACACATAGAGAGTGAGAGTGGCAGCAGCAGCTCATTATTAATGTCAGGAAACTTCACTTTTATCTTTCCTCTTTCTCTCATTTCACTTGCAAAGCAGAACCATGTTGATATTCCTCAGACATTCTGGCGAGCGTTTGTTCAGTGTTAAACTACTGGATTTAATTCTGTTTGAACTGTTTAATGTTCTCCATTTAAAGCGCTTCTTTTGTCTGTAATTTTAGTGTTGGTTGTGCTAAGTATGAGTGGTAAACTGGATTTACATCACATCGATATGAATGTTAATTTTATTATAGAAAATCTTATTTGGATATAGATTCTTATATATTATATATAGATAATCACTATATATATACATATATATATATGTGTGTGTGTGTGTGTGTGTATATAACTAGAGTATATATATCTATATATATTAAATTGGCTAAATATTGGCTGATTAAGTGGCCTGAGCAATATATATACTTTCCCATATTCCCATTGACTTGCATTCATAGAATGTTCAGCATTTCAAATGTATCCAACAGTGATGTCATTGCGATATCTATATGCACATTGGTCTTCCTTGCATAGATGTAACTTTTTACTGTTGCATGTGATGTTTTTCATGTGCAACTGATCAGAAGCAATATGCTGCATGACATGACAGCGTCAGAGCGTCTCTGATGCGGCATTTCATTCACTCTCAATCAAGGACTAACACATACACTCACCTTAAACCATAACACATGTTTTGCTGCCTTGCAAATTGCTGTTTCCTTCAGGAAATGCTTATCAAGTTTTGTTATGTTCGTCAGCTTGAGTGACGAGCAGATTGTCCTGCTCCTTCTGGCTATAAACTATAAAGCTGTTGGTGAAAATGAGGGGCTGCGTCTCTTCTTTTCTCTGTGTCTGTTTGTGTCCACGCACATTTATTGCTTGAGTTTATGTGTGTTCATAACAGGTTTTTAGACGCTCTGTTTTGTCTGTAGTATAAATGGCTTTAATAGCTTGTTTTTTTTTAGCTGTTGTTGTTTTTTTGTGTTCTTGGGTATCTTTTATATATATATATATATATATATATACACACACACAAGTATATATGTGTGTATTTGTATGTGTATGTGTATGTGTATGTGTATGTGTATGTGTATGTGTGTGTGTGTGCGTTTGGTTTTGCTATGTTGCAATGCACCTGAGAAGCTGCTCTATTAGCGTGAAAGCGCTGAGGAAGGAAGTGTTCGTGTAGAAGAGGTCAGTGTAAAGGATGCCCTTTAAAAGCAGAAAAATTCCTCCACCAGCAGTTGGAAAAGTACACGAGATAAAAACGCTCTCGCATTTGACTATTTCTGCGGTGATGTCTGGTCCTTCATGAGTCTCCTCAGAGCTTCAGCATGGAAGGAAGAAAGAAAGAAAGAAAGAAAGAAAGAAAGAAAGACAGTACAGCAAAACAAAAACCCTTACGCTGCAAGTGGTTTGTTATCAAGATTTCACACTGTTGTGAGTGTGTCTGTATAAAAGTGCTCTAGGAAGAAGAAAAGCAAGATAAATCATGCAGAGTATTTCTAGAGTAAAGTACAACAGGAGTTAAGGCCTTCTGGGATAAAAGGTCATTTTGAGGTTTGTTATTCTAAACCGAACTCTAAACAGAAACTAAAACGACTTTCCTAAACACCTACCCGTCTAAATGGATTGCAGATATGGCCATATCAATAAAACAAATACTTGCTAAAGGTCTAAAGGTTGATTTTGAGTGTTGATTCATATTGCTAATGAGAATGGCTGATCACATTTTATGATTTTCAGTTTTGTTCAAGGTGATAAAATCAATAGTTTTTAAGGAGCTGTTGAGTAATAACAGTATATAGAATAGAAATGCATGAAAAAACACACTTTGGCCAAAGAATTACAGCAAAGTAATACAGGAAATGAGAGGTTATAAAATGTCAGAATTAATTTAATGAATTGAAATGTGGTTACACACTTGCTGAGGTGGTGATTTTCACCTTTTGTACTTAAATGTTGCTGTTATTTTTTAGATTTCCCATATTTAAACTATTTGCATATGATGACAAATGTTGTCATATCAGTATTGCACCTGTATCAATATATATCACTCTAGTGTGTGTTAAAGGCCTTTTGCCTTAAGTCTGGGGTCATATTTACTTAGTTTTGCAATGAGTCAAACTTCATTCACTGCTCTATTTTACTGTGTTGCTCCTTCAGTATTCAATATACATTTGGTATTTTTATTTTAAAACAATCCAATTGACTTACAGTAGTCAGGTGATCTAAAAGAGACTGCTTGAACAGTTGCAACCGGTGCAAGTGGTATATGTAGAGATATACTGTATGTAGATGACTAGTCTCAGTGGTTGCATTAGTTTCTCCTTTATCTCGTCACTCTCTGAAACCGATTCTGCTGCACAGACAGCGTTTTTTCAGAGTTGCATGACTGATCTTTTCCTCACACTTAGCACACTGTTCATCGAGTTTTGTGGAGTAATGATGCTTGAGATTGTGTTCCTCAGGCACTGCAATCTTTACAAAAAGACATAGACCAAGGCAAACCAGAAGAGTAACTGTACACTATATGTTGTGTGATGTATAGTAGTGTACTTCTGAAGTGTATGTAGAGGATTTAGCTATTACCTCGACACACATCTGGCTCTTCCACTAAAGTCTTTGTCAATACTGTGAATTGGCCCGTAACCTTTTCAGCACATGTAAAACATCAATAAATCACTACTTGCTCTGTTTTAACCTCCTGTATAGTGGCTAGTGACCTTCTTATTTAGCTGAATTGAAGTGATGATGATGCTAAACCAATTCCTCCTCAGGAATAAACACTTGTTCCCAGTTACCCCACATCGCTGTCAAAGCCAAACTGTACTCCGTATTCTTGATCTGTGACAACACTTTGTCTGGGTAAACACCATATGTGCTCCTTTACGGGTAAATCGTTATTTAAAAAAGGCAAACAGTCAAATGACAGGAACATTTGGTGATATTACGTGGCGCTCATGTTTGCTTTGCAGTGATTTTAAAGTGAGTTAGATTTGTGGAGTGGAAGAGTTGAAAAATATTGTTTGAAGGGGTTCCATATATATATATATATATAGCCGTTCAAAAGTTTGGGATCAGTAAGATTTTTTATATTTTTAAATAAGTTTCTTATGCTCATCAAGGTTGCATTTATTTGATCAAAAATGCAGAAAAAACAGGAATACTGTGAAATATTATTGCAATTTAAAATAACGGTATTCTATTTTGATATACTTTAAAATAAAAAAAATAAATTCTGTGATGCAAAGCTGAATTTTCGTCGGCCATCACTCCAGTCTTCAGTGTCACATGATCCTTCAGAAATAAAGAGGAGATTATATATAATTGATATGGTATTTTATGTTATGTAATATCCATATCTGATGCTAGGGAGAAACAAATGCTTCAAACCAGCCTGGTGTGAAAACGCCCTAAGACTCTCAGCTCCATTTAACACATGTATAAATCAATTCCACAGCATTTCTCCCAAAAATCAGAGTTGGTTTTGGCCTGCACAGAGTCTTTACAGTGAAGAATGCAGCACGGTAATTAATTTTTAAGAAATGTCGAGGGATTCCTGTCCCTGTCTATGTGTATGTGTTTGAGTGTGTTGTAATTACTAATTAAGGCAGCGTAGAGGACTGCGTGTCCTTGCTATGACCGGTTCTCTCTCAGCGGAACAAAACCAGAGCGATGAATGCATCCAGTCCACATTTATGTCTGTGTTTTCTCATTGTTGCTTGACAAAGCAGTTGTGTTTAAGCTGCTGCATCCTTCTGAGACCAGACATTTCTGAACCGTCACTCCTAGAGCTTTCAATAGTCTGTTGACCTCCGTCAGTGTCTGTCCATCTGTCTGTTGAGCGACTGCTAAACTTCAAGTCCTTCTTGACAAAACATTTTTCCATTTCTCTTACTCTTCTAGCAATCTGTCTCTTGCCCACTCTGTGTGTTTCTATCTATCTATCTATCTGTCTATCTATTTTTTTTTACTTTTTCAGCATTCAAATGTTGTCTTAAACTTTGATTTTCAATTCTTTTTTGATTCTGCTTCAGTACATTTAAAATTTGCTTTCCAATTCTACATTCTATTTGCTACAATAATTCAAATTCAGGAATTCGTATGGAATTTACAAAGCAACTGTAACATTGAAAGTTGAACAGTTTAGATAGAGTGACATCATTAATGAAAAGTGTATGTAGGACAATCTCCGGATGTGTTTATCACACACATTCTACAGCTGGGTGATGTCTGCGTTCATGTCATGACCACATTCTCCTTTGTTTCCTCTTTAGAGCAACTTCTTGGGAAGTAGCAGCTTCTCCGTGGCTGATTTCCTCCAGTCCAAGGACCAGCAGCTTTCTCTCAGCCTGAGGTGAGTTGGATTGTGGGATGTGAGTTTTAGCATTGTCTGCAGGGCTGACTTAATTGAGGCTGTGCTGTCGTTTTATGGCGTGAACTTCATTTGCTGGGTTCCGTGCACATGTGATGAGTTCTCTGGAGGTGGATGATGTCAGGCACCCACAGCTGATCAAACAGAACTGAGACCAGCAGAAAACAGGCCATCTGCTCCTGTATTTGGCACATATTTAGTTGCCACACAGCTCGATCTGACTGTCCAATGAATGCACAGCTTGAATTTTCATTGTACGGTAGGGCTAGGGCTGCATGACGGTTTAAAGCACCTTAGGGGCCGTTTACGCGGCAACTTTTCAGCCAAAAACAGGAAACTTTTTATGCATTTTGCCTGTTCGTTTACACGACAACGACGTTATGGGGACTGAAAACGCATATTTTTGAAAACGGGTTTCAAAGTAGATTTATGTTATTTAGACATCGAGGAATGTGTCAGGACATGTCTCAAACTGGTACATTTTAGTTGCTTTTCTGGTGCCAAGAATCATTGTGCTTTAAATGTGGTACATCCAATGAATTTCGAGTCAAAACTATCTTTTTTATATGGAAGCCCATGTCTGCCACGTAAAAAAAAAATACAATTGCAAGGTAATTGTAACTTTTTATCTCACAATTTAGACTTTTTTTCTAATTATTCTGACTTTTTTCTCAGAATATGTAGTCAGAATTGCGAGTCACAGTTACTTTTTTATTTTTAATTAAAAAAAAAAATACAATTGCAAGGTAATTGTAACTTTTTATCTCACAATTTAGACTTTTTTTGTAATTATTCTGACTTTTTTCTCAGAATATGTAAAGTCAGAATTGCGAGTCACAGTTACTTTTTTATTTTTAATTCTGTTGCAGAAACGAAAAAAAAAAACAGAATTCTGAGATGTAAACTTGGAATTGTCAGAATTCTGAGTTTAAAGTCAACATTAATTCACTGGATTATAGAAAATTAGATATTTAACAAATTTCAATTTAATGAACCATTGTTTTGTTGAATTTTCCAACAAAAACAAGTATATTAATATAAATACTTAAGTAATAGAGTCAATCCCTATTGTATGCTAGTTTGAATAGTTTTTAGGTAGTTAAGGGCTGGATAAGTGGGTAAATATGAAAGCTGGGTAATGTGAAGAACATTACGTTATGTGGTTTAGTAGTCATAGATCTAATCTGCCAACCTAAAAGGCTGTAGGTTCAAAGCCCACAAAGTGCGATTCATTAACAGTGATCACCATTGTGCTCCTCCCAGTGGGGTTGTTCCTGTAAATGTACTGTAAATCATATTTAAGCAGCAATTAAATGAATTAAATTAAATTTGTTATTCTAAATTAGTACAGACGGTGCAGGCAGGACACATTCATATCCATAAGCATCTGCATCATGCCATCAGGGCCTTGAGAGAGACCTGAAAACCGACTGTTTTGTCACCTTGTTGTCGTTCACTAAATGATTCGGAATTCAAACAGCTGCTTCGGTGCGGTTATTTTTTCCTGTGTACACAGACGTGCTGGATCTGCTCCAAAACCTAGTGAGCTGTCTACGTAGACAGCATTTACCAAACGGCTATCTTATAAGATAGCTTGTTTTGGCCAAATTGGAGTGCTGTTTGCTGAATTGCTGCCTATGAAGTGCCCTCAGAAGTTTCCTTGACAGTAAGCATGCAGTAAACATTAAGATAGCTTGCTGTGTTTTGAAGCAGAGTTGGTGTGTCATGATTGATAGTGTTGTGACTGTGAGTGACAGACGGAGGGATTCCCGGCACACTGTACCACAGATAACAACATTAGTATTAATAGAGGATTGTTTCTCTTTATTTGGCACATTGCTCATGTTACGGTGTACACTGGCCCTTGCTTGTTGTTGTTTGTTCTGTTTCGCTGTCGGTGGCTGGTTGTTTTCTCTCTGTCTTTCTTTCTGTCTCTCTTGAAACTCAGACTAGCGTTTCTATTTGGTGAAGAGCAGCAGAAGTACAAAAGGACCGTCTCTTGTGTAATGCAGCAAGGCGTACAGTACATGGGGTCCAAAAGTCTGGAAAGCTATTTTTCTCTATATTGTACAATAGTGGACAAGTTGGATTGAAAAATTAAGGTGAATTTCAGATTGTTTTAATATTTGGTTTGTGTCTCTTCTGCTTTAAAGGGGTCATATGATGCTTTTTTAAAGATCATTATTTGGTGTATTTGGTGTAACAGAATATGTTGACATGCTTTAATGTTCAAAAAACACATTATTTGTAGTGGAGCTTCAGCATGATCTAAGATGTTTCAAAGAGCATCTTGAGCTTCGCTGGAAGAAAGTATGACTGTCTGTACACTGTAAGAAATTTCCACTTACTGTATTTCTACTTAAAAACTCAAGTTCAGTTGCTGCCTAAAATTTGAAGTGTAATCAAATTGGCTGTACAAGTTATTTCAACTTAAATTATATTAAAATGACTTAAAAAATCAAGCTGAATCATGTATAACTTAAAAAAGGAATTTGAAATAGGTTAAAGTAATGGAAAAACATGTTGCCATGACTTATTGACCATACAGTGTATAAAGAGTCATGACTCATTTACTTGAGTGACCTAGAAATAGTATAGAATATTAAATATTTCTTTTTCTTTTGTGATTTTTTTCAGAAATCGAAAGTTTTATTTTTGTTTAATACTGCAACAAGTCTTGCATGTTGTAATGTGGTCAGACTTTTGGATCCCACTATATATTGTAGCCTATTTGTTTATGTATAGTTTATGGTGTTTTTCAAAAGCATTAGATGTACATTTTCTTTTTCGGGCATTGTATCAAATCATTAATACATTTGATATTTGTAATAAATTCTACATATTTTTTGTACTTTTTTATATGTAACTTTTTATATTTATAATATTTTAATATTTTGTACGTTTATTCAATGCATAAATGCAAGTTACATTTATTTTTGAATTTATTATATTTTATTTTTTAAATTGCACAATCGCAGTGCTTTATGTGACGTGTAGTTCATTCACTCATAAAAGATTTAAAGTACACAGTCTTTTATCTTTGTGCAGTGTTGTGATTCCTCTCAGAGCTTTTGTTTGGATCATTTTCTGAAATGCCTTTGCAATGTATTTCATGTATGGCAAAAATACTTTCAGAAAGTTTCAAAGTGGAAAGTCGTCGGCACTCTTCAGCTCTTCAGTTGTTCATAATCAGCGCACTATTTTGGTATCTATACGGTAAAGAAGCTTTTCACTTTTTCACTTTGGCTTCAGTTGTTTAATAATAGGAAAGCAGTGCATGCGTCGTGTGTGTTTGTGACTCTATTGTTCGACCCGGCCGAGACCTTTCACACAGTAGTCAGCTCTGCTGCGCTGCGTTTCAGGAAGTCTTGTCTTTCCTCTCTTCATCCCCTCGCAGGTCACCTTTTCATTTCTGACTTATCTCTTCCTCTCTCTATATCATGACACACTCAGTTATTTATAGATCCTTATCCAAGCAGTCTTAGATGCCCGGAGTGTAGGGCAATAAACAGTGGCCTGCACTGGAGATCTTCGAGTCTTGAATTCAATCACTTTACAGTCGGTCTATTGATTGGGAGGGAGTTTATGGGTAGAGATGTGCCGTACCCATGGCGAATGAAATCTAGCGTCCTCTAAACGTTAGCAGCTCGCTCTTACTCCAAATTAAATTTCTACTTTCCTAATGAAAGCTTCATCATATGTGAGGTCAGGGTGTAAAATTACAGATTTTTTTTCTGTACCTGCTTGACCATAATTATTTGCATTATTTTGTAGTAGTATTGCAGTTGTATTGTTGTTCTGTGTTCTTTGCATTTTTCTGACAATCCAAGTTAAATTTTTGACTCACCTGCCAATAGTGAATAAATTCACCATCCATTAATATTTATAATTGCCCATGTAATAGTTTTACATTATTTTATAGGATA